AAGCAGTTTATACTCGTATACTTTTCGGAGTATTAAGAAGCAGTTTATACTCGTATACTTTTCGGAGTATTAAGAAGCAGTTTATACTCGTATACTTTTCGGAGTATTAAGAAGCAGTTTATACTCGTATACTTTTCGGAGTATTAAGAAGCAGTTTATACTCGTATACTTTTCGGAGTATTAAGAAGCAGTTTATACTCGTATACTTTTCGGAGTATTAAGAAGCAGTTTATACTCGTATACTTTTCGGAGTATTAAGAAGCAGTTTATACTCGTATACTTTTCGGAGTATTAAGAAGCAGTTTATACTCGTATACTTTTCGGAGTATTAAGAAGCAGTTTATACTCGTATACTTTTCAGAGTATTAAGAAGCAGTTTATACTCGTATACTTTTCAGAGTATTAAGAAGCAGTTTATACTCGTATACTTTTCAGAGTATTAAGAAGCAGTTTATACTCGTATACTTTTCGGAGTATTAAGAAGCAGTTTATACTCGTATACTTTTCGGAGTATTAAGAAGCAGTTTATACTCGTATACTTTTCGGAGTATTAAGAAGCAGTTTATACTCGTATACTTTTCGGAGTATTAAGAAGCAGTTTATACTCGTATACTTTTCGGAGTATTAAGAAGCAGTTTATACTCGTATACTTTTCGGAGTATTAAGAAGCAGTTTATACTCGTATACTTTTCGGAGTATTAAGAAGCAGTTTATACTCGTATACTTTTCGGAGTATTAAGAAGCAGTTTATACTCGTATACTTTTCAGAGTATTAAGAAGCAGTTTATACTCGTATACTTTTCAGAGTATTAAGAAGCAGTTTATACTCGTATACTTTTCAGAGTATTAAGAAGCAGTTTATACTCGTATACTTTTCGGAGTATTAAGAAGCAGTTTATACTCGTATACTTTTCGGAGTATTAAGAAGCAGTTTATACTCGTATACTTTTCGGAGTATTAAGAAGCAGTTTATACTTTTTTTATGCTTTATTCAATTTATGAATTTGTGGGACCACGGGTGAGGGTTCGGACTATAATTTGGCGCCTCGAGCTTATCTTTTAGGGGATAAAAATGTGATCTTTTTTTTTTCTAGATCTGACCTCTTGATTTCTTTTGTAGGCCATTATGTCGCGAGTATCGAGAGGTCGTTTTCCTGCTGCATCGGCTGATGGCGCGCTTCCTTCATATGCTGGTGAGCTACTTTTTTTCCTTGGTGAGGATCGACGCTTTATGGAAATTTTGCAAATTAACCCTCTTCTTCTGAGAATTTGCAAATTAGTCCTTTTACCCCATTTTGCTCTCCTTGGTGAGGCGATCGGGAAAAGCCTTGATTCTCCTTGGTGAGGATCGACGCTTTAAGGATGGGTTTTGCTTGGTCAAAACCACATCTCATAATAAAGGGGGCGTTTTGACGCTGCATCGTGCTTTATAAGGCAGGGATATATTGTCGATATACCCTATCTTATAAATGCGCAATGTGGCCAAATCGTCTCGCCCTTTATAAGGTAATGACTCTATCTTACCAATTTGTAAGATGAGTTCAATTTCCTTTTATATCTGAAATTAACAAACACTTAACTGCTTGTTTTCAGGGGAATATCCTTCCGGAGCCTTTTCATCGCATGCGGTGAATGGACGTCGTGACGAATATTATTCGATGTCTGATGACTTTTCGCCCATTCCGCTTACTTCTCAGTTTGGTCCGGGCACGTCGCCGGAAGTTGCCTAAGTGGTGAAGGAAGGTGGACATCGAGCCCTTCGCCAGCTGATTACATATGCGCCTCTCGTGAAGGATGCCGGTTCCGTTCAGTCTCTCAGGAA